CTGCGAAATTTGAAACCCCACACGGAAACGAGCGCTTTCTGTCCTCGTCCGGCAATTTCCAAGGTTTGGCGAGTTCTGGAAAAAAGTGCACTTTCTGGAAATTTCCCCTGTAGTCCAAACCGCAATCAACGTGACACCAGAAATTTTGCCCTCTATGGGTCAAGCTTGTTGGTTTTCCATTGGCATTTTCGGTGGTTTAGTCATTTTCAGACGAGGCGCCTTCATTACGTTGAGCGGCGAGTTTCCAAGTCGATATTTGTGTGCATTTGCTCGTTTCGTGTAGTTTCCCAGCTTCTTATGTTTCTCCACTGCAGCGGCTCTGTTGGTCATTGGATTCGCTAAAAACTCGTACGGTTAGAAGCAGAGAACTAGAGGAATGGATAATTTTTCTGCGTGTCTAACTGCTTTGTTTATTACCTGTCCGTTGAAAAGAACCCGAAATTGCTGTCTATCAATCACTCGACAGCAGGTTTCCTCGAATTTTTGCCATAGTCCAAGGTTACGATGTCTTCTTTTTCCCGTTCCACCGCTGCGTTTCAGTTTCGTGCGTGAGTTTGGCATCCCGCTGCTGGCTGGGGTTCCCGCTCAATTCCTTGCACAGCTGATTATTATTCATGGAGCCAAATTTCTGGAATCTTCCGGGAATGGGAAGTTTTTGATCTCTCCTAGATTTGCAATCGTTTGGCAAATATAGTTGTGGGATTCGTGGTTTCTCCAGCACTCCTATGAAGTATTGAATCTTCTGGATTGAGTTATGAGGACACAATTTCCTTAGGATATTGTTCTTGAAGGAAACTTGGGATCCAGAAGACTCGATCCATACCTATTCAGCCAGAATCTGACTAAATTTTAGCTAAATTCACTCATTACATTCCATTCATTTATTCATGCGCACTATTCATTTATTACGTATGAGCTTATTTAATATTTAACAGCATTTGATAGTTTAGTTACATACGCTGTTACTATTTTTGATATTAATTTACCATTTAATTCTCTGTGTACTTTCAAGTCGTGAGGATGTCAAAGTACTTTGGTTTCAACCTCAATATCGTTCTCAGAAATATTTCTGCGTACCATACAATATTGCTCACGGGATGGCGAAAACCGACGGTCGCTTGGTCGCTTACCGTTGCTTCGCCATAACTTTCTTAGAACTGCACCAACCAAAGCGCTTTGGTCACCATACGATTTGTCTCGAGAAGATCTTTCGGAAGACATACTGGATGTCTGGATATACTTTTGGTTTACTGGTTTTGTCCAAAAAATCGATATATCGATTAATGCCGTGTAATGGATCGGACTAGTAATAGGGGAAGCACGCGGGTTGATTTGGAACTCAAGCTCAAATTGGATTATTCACCCTAAACTGGTGCAGAAATCCCCAAAATCAAGCACCTAGGAGCAGAAACATAAACCTACTACTAACCCTATTCGCGTTACACGACATAAATCGATAAATTGATTACTAGGGCAGAACGAGTGAACCAAAAATATACCCTGACATCCACTACATACTTCATAACTAATAGGTATTCTGAAAGTTCTTCAACTTGTTTCAACTGAGGACTCTAGATAACGATGATTTTAAACCGTAAAATGGCTGGGTAACAACACCAAAGGCTCATGTTCTTACTCAGACTCAGCTGCGTGTATCCACATCTCTCAGTGGCAACATGGCCATTTATTATTTACCTCTAGGCACGGACGAAAATAGCGCTGCGAAACCACATCTACTCCTAAAAACAACTGAGTATGTGAATTGCTGAGCGCTTTTTCTCCGATTTCTTACAAGAACTGTGTTCTAAGAAAAATTGTTTCGTCGCGACTTGCGGCCGGATTCATGAGAGATTCTACACGGCTGCAACACTCACGAATCGTACATATTTGCCTCTTTTACTGATATCTTGTTCAATTCCTGAATAATCCTATAAATATCCGCTGTCTTACACAAACAAACCTTCCAAAAGATAAAGCCAGCCACGTGTGCTTTCCTCACAAGCCCAGGTGTTCGAGGCACATCTCTATTGTTTCTTCTAGAAAATGGACGTTACGTTTGATGGAATTTTCGTTTTGAATAGCCACTAATTGAAAGTACCCTGTTTTTGCCTATTTCGACCATTCCATATACCAAATAACTTGAACCCTGAAGTTCTTCAAACAGTCGCTGTTTTGAATACTTCAAAATTCATTTGAAACCCGATACGATTTGCCGCAGTCTACTTAAATGTCAAAAAAAGTAGTAATTGCAATGGGTCAGAATGGTTGCAGATAAATAAGCGCTAATGTTTTCTTTGAGGTTATAATTAAAATTTAGCTCAAAAAAATTACAAAAAAAAAGATGGCTGATAACGCAAAGCTGAAAACTAGCTGACATCTGAGATATTTCAAAAATAGTGGATTAATCATAAGCTGTTTAGGATAGAGACGCAGAGGAAGCTTTTGCCGAAACCTTTGCGGTATCATAAATCACTTTGCTATGCATTAACTGAGAGCGTTACCATTGTTCATGTGACAATCCCTTCAAAAGGCATAAACACCCAACAATACGCTTCTGTATCCATAGTGACGTATTCTCTAGGGTATTTTCACGGTCAATAATGAAATTCTGATGACGACTTTCCAAGTAACAAGCTTCGCATGTTAAATTAAATTTTAATGCCGAATTTGTTCTTGGCTAATATTGCCGATGGAAACGTTAATTATCAGCAATTTAACCAGCGTTTCCACAGGGAATCGTCTGCGATAATGAGGGGTACTGTCTCTTTTCAGATGTCTGCAATTGCGGACGTAAGAAAAGTCGAGTTTAATTGCCAATAACTTCAGTAATGAGCTGCAGATAGGCGAAGTGTTTTTGTTTACTCTGCGTCTCTAACCTGAACCCAGCATTTGCGGCAGTTTGAGGCTATGGCGACATTTCCACATATTTTTAGTGCGAAGACTGGTCCTCGTTAACATTTTCACCGGTCGTCTACTTCGCTCCATTTATATTCTATGCTGTATTTTCAAGAAATTTCAATGAAAATTGAGACGAAGGAGTCGTTCGCGGAATTTGGAACCCTTTCCCTGCATGGGGACCAGTTCTCGTCCCTGCATAATGTAATAATTTTCACAGATACTTGCTATGGCTAGAATTTCTGCTTTTCCATTTCATTTCTTAGCTAATCACAATGTTTAACAGTGGCTGGTTAGTGTAGTACTTCATAATTGGGAGGGTTCTCTCACGGGGACCAGTTCTCGCCTATTGTTTTCACCGTGAAATCTGCATGATTTTCCACTTATTGCGGAAAGTATACGAAGCACTCAGATTCCTTATTCCTCCTCTAATATTCTGCGTTTCGACTATCTGCCTCTAAAAAAACTTTCAATTCAACAGCGAGAAAATCTCTTTGCCATTGCAGCCACCTCACCCTATTATTCGTCCTCTCGCTGTGATTGTTTGATGTGCGGCGCTAATAGCCTTAATTAAATCGCTCCAAAAAGCTTTCGAGCTGCCTGTTTGGCTCGACTATGCACAATGTTGCGCTATGGATTATTAAGTTTTGTTGTTATTCCTTCGTCAAAAGCATTTTTTTTTCATTTTTGCCGCTTCTACAGCAGTGAATTCTCATTAATTGCTTAGAGATTTTTCATGAAAAAAAAATGCTGATGGAAGTGGATTGCCACATTTTGAACGTTCGTGTCGCGGTTTGGAATTCGTTATGCTAAACCAAAGATAGGGGGCCTACAGTGGGGTAATTTTAAGCCAATAGTGCTGTGGAGACAATCTCGGTTTTTCTAGATTTTTACATGGATTGATCGGGGTATATTCATGTGGAACTGGGCTATTTTCAGAGACCAGTTGAGAAACTTGCAAGGATCTTCTGTAGACGAAGTCTCGGGAACAAATCGGATGTTTTATGAGAAGTGATTAGAATAAATCCGGTCTTGCTTCTTGAATAATCAGACCTTTCTTGAAAGGATCTGACTTTCTCTTTATGGCTTCTTTCTTAGTCTGTCATTGTACAGCGCACCTACGTGCATTTTAAAAAGTAAGGGAATGAATAAATAAACCAGTGACTAAATGTGAGGCTTCCTATAGGCCCTTTCAGGTTGAATTAATAATTTTCTACCTAATTTTCGATCTGTATTTAGACTTTCGCGCAAACTCTTACATATGAACTCCATTTCGTAGCTGAACTTAGCTAAGGAGAGTTCTGACAATGAGCATTTTCGCCCCAATGTTTTGTTTTTTTAGTATGCGGTTCCTATCAATATCAATTTTCTATCCATATCATCCATTTGCTAGTAATCTTTTCTAATATCTGGTGGTCTATTCATGTCGTTCCAGGATTTATCCTCGCTTTCTTGAATCGCAACAAAAGTAAGGTGAATTCCTATTAATGTGCTCTGTTTTGAAAAACTGCTCTAAGGGAATAAATAATTCCGATGTAACTTGAATAGTTTTTTTTTTGAAGGGCCAAAAAAATAATTGAAAATGGACGGCAACACCTGTCACAGCTGGATATCTAGGTGTAAAATCAAAAGTTTGACGTGTGATACGTGCAACTTGTCGCTCAAAAGTGACAGATTACCCAATTCATGCACTAATTATCCGTAGATCAAATTAATGGTGAATGAGCGCGCTATCTTCTCATTATTACAAGTATTTGCATGTCAGTCTTCTGCGTGTGAAATGGTACCTTTAAGTTTAAGGACATCGTTAGGCAAGAACCATCCGATATGGAAGAGAAGGCCGTGACGGACGCACGCACGCACGCAGTGCATCTTCTTTTTCTATTGATGTGTTGTCCTTAGAGTTCAATACCAACTTCTATGATTCTATAAGCGTTCAGACGAATGCAGTATTATGCCAAGGAATAAGGCTAGACGGACGGGCAGACGCACCCATGCGTAGTTCCACCATTTTTTTCTTATTCCTGTGAAAAAAATCGGTGCTAGGTAGCAAAGGCTCCAATCTATACTCATATTGTGGATGTTTCAAACAAATGCAAAATATTTGATCTCGGGCGGGCTCGAACCGCCGGCCTTCTGTGTGTTAGACAGATGTGATAACCACTACACCACGAGATCGCTGAGTGGATGAGCGAGGAGAACACCCATAACGCCGCGCCCGAGCCATGACAAGGACATCTTGTGTTTGAATTCGTTCGAGTTTCAAGTCATTCAGGCTCACTCCTGACAAAAATTTTAAAAAAATACAAAAAAATTGTGGAAATTCTTTCGGAAATTTGTTATCCCTAGGATAAAACCTATGAATATTTGTTATAAAATCTCCTTTAGCACAGTGAAAATGCGCTTTTCCATTAGGTATGGTCCCAGAATGGTAGTCGTTCGCTTTCCGCAACTAGTTTGCTACTTGCCGACTATTAAGGTAGTTTGCAACTTACTTTTGAAGGAGTCATCTGTGTCTCTCATTTTCAAAAATTAAATTAGGAACAAGGTTAATTATCTTGTCAGAAAACTGTAATGAGCAAAAGATCAAATTAGGAAAACGATGACACGGGAATATATAAGCCCCAGCACAATTTCCTCTGCGTCTCTACCTAAGCGTGACAAAGCTACTGGCATTATCATCTTACTTTGAATCGCGTCCCCACTACATAAAAATGGGCGGACTACTCTGGTTGTCTGCACTCTTGCCCTCCCTGTGCCTGGGCTCATGATTGGCATAGGAATAGACCATGTTATTAAATTTCTTTGTCTCACCATTTTGTATTCACTCCTGCGTCTCTCACTTCCACATTATCTATGACACCTACTCTGCATCTTTGCCTCGAATGCTGCTCATTTCGTGCCAATCCATAGTTAATTTCGCTTTTTTAGAATATATGTCATGTCCCAGACATACCAGGCTACTTTATTGATTTTTTCCAGGTAATGTCCACAGCAGCGCCTATATCGCCAACAACTAAACCACCACACAAATATGGGGCCTTCGACATGGATGAGAACGCGATTTTTCGTGCTCTCATAGTGATAGGAGGGATCGCTTTATTATCAGCTATTTACTGTATTATTAAATGTTGCAGGTTTGTTTTTCCTTATTTTTTACTCTTTACGTGATTCATTATATTTGCTGGGCCTTGTAAACGCGCCGCCACTGTTGCTAAGCTCCGCCCACCTGGTCACTGTTTCGGAGAATAGCGCTGCTTATGCTTTTTCAATTGGGTATATGAACTTTTTGAGGGCCCAAAACCACTGTCATCCCCACGACAAAATTTGTTTGTAATTTATGGACACCTATCATATGCATCATACCAGTGATAGATGTCCACTTTAATACTACCTAGTGATGCTAGGCATATCTTCCTTTTTTCCAAAAAAAAAAAACAAGCATTAAAAATTGAAAGCAAAGCACTTAAAGTGCGCTCTATTGGGTGTTAATATAAGTCCTTGCGCTTTTATTCGGATACACTTTTCTGCACCTATTTGTCATCATTTAAGTATAGGTCACATATGATTTGAAAGCGCTAATCTTCCTCTACAATAGCTCTGTAAACGAATTTTTTCAATCCATAGTTTGATTGAGTTTTAAACCTGCAAAATGGAGCAACGAGTTAATAAAAAACAGCACCACCGACAGCCACCTATCCTGCCAATCAGTTGAAGCTCGGAAAGCCATCGAAACTGGCCAATTGACCTGTGCTAAGTATGAAAGAGATGTTTCGGTTGAAATGACTGGTCATCAACGATTTTCTATGATCAAAGAAGGCATATTTGTTCTCGATAACACCAACCACTTTGACCGAACAAATTTCTTACAAGAAGAGCCGGGAATTGCTCCAATGGAATCATATGGTCTAGATGGACACCATATTTCTCAAAGCTGGGAAATAACTAAGGTGATTCTGCTGAAAGAATCCATTGGCGAGGGTCTAGTCATCTTAGACTAAACCCTCGCCAATGGATTCTTTCAGCAGAATCACCTTAGTTATTTCCCAGCTTTGAGAAATATGGTGTCCATCTAGACCATATGATTCCATTGGAGCAATTCCCGGCTCTTCTTGTAAGAAATTTGTTCGGTCAAAGTGGTTGGTGTTATCGAGAACAAATATGCCTTCTTTGATCATAGAGAATCGT